CTTACTTGAGGAGATATAGCCATTTTCTTGAACCTATCTCAATCAGCGGGTTAATGTGCATTACTCATTTACTGAAGTAATTATATACTGAGACTGTTTCTTTTACAATTCCTTCTTCATGCACTAATTTCATCAGCAATTCGTTCAGTAATGAATCCATTTTTTATGGATCTGCTTCAGGTTCTCATGATATGACTTCATTATTTGATAGCTATATTGTTGACGTTATAAATACGAGTTCATTGTGAGGCAATAGAACTATGACTTTGAGCTAATTAGTTGATGTACCTCTGTAGGTTGATTCTGTTTAAAGGTCGACAATATTAGTAGTGATCATTGGGCAGTTGATATCATTATCACCGTTACCAAAACTGGTTTAGGAGGTTAAGTAACCGGCAGCCATGAAAGGGACTGGAACAAGAACTGAAAAGTCACATTCATCTGTTTAAGTAACGGAAAATGTTCAGTGCCGATTTATTATTTAATTTAATCTTATGTTGTAAGTGTCAGATCACAAATAGTAAGCTTTATCCGTGTCTACAAATTAAAGAATGATCGTCTGGACTACGCCCATGTGTTCATAAATTTCCCGATAATACTAATGATGAGAGCTTCTATGAGCTGCTGAATAGAGAATGGAATTTTTGCATCAAACTGTCCACTACTAGCATAAACTTGTAATAATAAATACCCTTTTAATACCTTGTATTAGTAATAAACCCTGTAATAGTATCACCTTGTAATTATAAATAATCAACGTGATCCCCATCAATCTCGAACCTAATCAATTCATATCTATGAGAACAACCTCCTTCTAAACAAGGATGAAACCAACCGATTTACTGTAATATTTGTAAGAGCAATTGCTCATTTCCTCACAATTTTCATTTCCTCACAACTGATACCGGGCAAAGCTGAGAGTACCGGTACCTTGAAGATGGTAGCTTCTGTAGAGCCATATTAACTTACTCATGTTGACCCATAGTGATAGAACGTATATGAATGAGCGCCTCTGCGCTAATTGAGATAGCTTTAGGAAAACAGCCATATCTTCTCAAGAAAGCAGGATTGCTGGATAAAATATATGTTTTTCTGAATCTAGAGATTCCGATGGATCGGACAGTGTACATATATTTATATGTTACCGAGCAAACCTGAGAGTACGATAGGCTCGAAGATGGTAACCCGTACAGCATTGAGACCATTGAGACATTCACACTCTATATTTTCGCATTCCCCAACAAGATTTCCATCATATCGTAATCACGCCTCATATGTGCAACTGTCGCTAAATTTCATCAATATTCTCACTTTGACGAGGTGATCTCTGAAAAAAATTTCTGAAAAATAAATAATATACTGNTATGAACGTATTGATTGATCTATAGTGATCAATGCATGTGAATGAGCGCGATTGCACTATTTGATATAGATCTAAGAAAATAGCTATATCTCCTTAAGGAAGCAACATCGCCCGGCAAAATGTATGCTTTTTCTGAATATAGAGATTCCGCTGGATCGAATGATGCAAAGAAATTCATATGTTACTGGGCAAACTTGAGGGTACGATAGGCCCGAAGATGGTAATTCTCATCAATCTCAAATCTAATCAATTCGTATCTGTGAAAACAACCTCCTTCTAAATACGACTGAAACGAACCAATTCATAATAATATTTGAAGGAGTATTTGTGATTATTTATTGCCGTATGGTATAATTACTGCTGAAACAGTTTCATGTGAAGAGTGGAATTAACTGGGTGAGATAAGGATTTTCCCGTTTGAGACGGCGATCTCCTAGGGATTTTCACGTTGTTGAAAATTTCGAAGATGCTTTGTTCGAATGGCAAGTCAGCATATAGTTCGGCGTTTTCCTTTGTTCGTTTTGTTTAATTGAGTGCTGGTTGTGTTCATTTCTTGAATTATTTTGTTGCTGAAATGAATAGAATTGAATATTAGGTTCCCCACATGCTCGTCGATTGATATTGCATTTATGCTGATTATGTTCTCTTTTCATTTTGTGTTTTATGAAGGAATTTTTCAGTTTTATTGTCTATTTCAAATCGTTTCAATTCATTCCAAACACTGTTATTGTCAAATTAATATCATGCATTATTTGATTAGCTGTATATTGTTAGTATCGCTGACATCAAATAAATGATTCTTATCAAAATGAATCTTCAGAAATCTGTGACATTGTTTGCGATACATTTTGCGTGACAACAATCGATGTATAATCATAGTATCATTCTGGGTGGCGGTGTCACGAAGCATCACATTATGAATGCGAAATGGCTCGGATTTTACCGTTTATATTCATGCTGGATAGGTGTACTTATTTATTGTGTTGATTTCTTATTAAGCACTTTTCACAAAGAGGTTTCATCAATTTGTGGGATTAATTCAGGAATTTGATGGTAGCGATTCAGGTGCTCGACCAGATGAGGCCGTTAGTTGGGGTGAAATTCGAGGTGATGCGAAATCAGTTGAAGTGTTTTCGGAAGCTTCGCTTGTGTACCACACTGATTGTGTCGTATCCATCGATTTTTGTTCCAAGGAACTTCATTATAGAGTGCAATTTTAATCAATCGTGGAAAAGAATATTTGAAAGCGTACAATTCTTCCTTTAAAAAAATCCTAACAATAAGCAAGGACTCGTCTAAACTTTTGAATCTGCATTGAATCCATTTGAAGTATTTGAGTGGAATTTAAACTAATAACCAGATCGGAAGTAATGACTAAAACCCTATCTGTTTTCTTATTATTAATGAGTCTAGAGAAATATTCTCAGATCAGAGAAAGTGACTTTAATTTGGAGGGTGAGAATCTGAGTTTTTTAGTTTCATCTTTGAGAAAAATGTGAAAAATGTATCTCTAGTTTTTTCGTTTTGTTCGTCGTTATTGATGCAAATATTCGGATTTTTTAATGGTCGCAGTGTTGTTGTTGTTTTAATTGGTGTTATTTGTGTTGTTGTGATCAATTGCGTGTTTTATCACATTTCCTTGCAAAATTTGTCAAGCACTGATGAAGTTTCATTTAATTTTTTAACGCGTGTATAAAGTATTAAAATATTGCTGAGGAAAAAATTTTTTTCTTCTTTCGAAATTTACACATTTTTCATGTTCCAGTATGAAAAAATGGACGAAAACAGTCAATGAAAAAGAAATTTCACCAACCGAAAATGCAAAACTATCAGTATTTTTAAATTGACAAATGCAGTTACAGCCGATTACACTATTTTTTTCCTCATTTTTCGTAGCATTTGGCAATGAAATTGCAAACAAACGAAACAAATTGCAAACATTTTTTATCGCTTATTGAAAATGAATAGTTCTTGTTGTTATTCGTGAGTGGAAGCATAATGTTGAGCATAAAATTGTACAGGATATTATGAAAATTTGTGAAAAATGAATGTCAAATTACGAAAATTTTTTGACAAATCAAAAAAGTCAAATTTTTATAACATTTTTTGATAAGTCCATCGTCCCTCCCAACGGAAGGACGATGGACTTGTCAAAAAATCTGGTCTTTCAATCATATCCTGTAATTGTAAAATCTAGTCTTTCAATTGTTAACAAGACGTCGTATCCTTTAACTCGAATTGCCATACCTCAATAATCTGAATACGTTACCAATCTGTCTCTCCATCACAATCGCACGTCTGTTTTCATGTCTCTTGCAGGCTCTCTCAGGGGTAGTCAGGACACTCAGCGAGCACTCGGTGGCGAAAGGGCCAGTTACAATTTTTGTTGAGTCTGTCGTCAATGAACTCGTTCAATCCACAAAATATTGAACATTACGTCATAATTTTCCATAATTTCCATCTTTACAATGACAATTCCAATTTTAGGCAATATGCCGAACGTTCAACGTGCAAATAATCTAGCCATTTCTGCAGAAGTTTCAGATTTCAAACGAAATTGCCTCAGTTCTGAAATTTCTTGTGTTTCCTCTACACAACGTTCCCGCTCTGTTTATTCCATTAGCCGTCCCATTAATGCATACCATTATTACAAACCAATAATTCTCTCACACAAATGGCGAACAAAATTTCTCAGTAATACTTTTCTATCGACGAGCTAGCTTACGACAAACTTTAAATTGGAAAATGTGTTTATTTCTCTCATTGTTTTTTATTGAGACTGATGGGCATCTGAGTTGTGCAGTCAATTTGAGTATATTCTTGTTCATTTTGACCAATTAATTGTACGTGATAATTTAAGATTGTGTGTTTTTGATCGAAAATTGCGTCATCAGATGGCCACCATTGCGTTCAGTCGCGTTCAGCGCGAATGCAAGGAGATCATCACCAGTAAAGAGGTACGTTTCATATTTTCGCATGATCACCCAATCTTTGTTCCATGAAATTTCGTTCAGGTGAGGTTGCAGTTTTCCTTTTCCTCAAAACGAATGAATGAGTTTTCACAGATGCTACTCTTAAGGTGTATGTTGATTTAAAATTCTGATTCTCTTGAAATTTGCTAATTGTTTTGAACGATTAGATGATACTCGTTCAGTATTAAAAATCGAAGAATTGCATCTGACAATATTTTCACACTGGTTTATAAATAAGGTCTGAGTGACCGTTTCATTTTCAGCTATCTGAAACTGGTGTATTGATTGAAGTTCGTAATGAGACTTTAACAAAAATACGTGGCGAAATCAAAGGACCTCCAGATAGTCCATACGAAGGTGGGATATACTCATTGGATATCTCTATTCCTGACGAATATCCATTTCAGCCTCCCGTGGTTGGTTGCATTTAATCGTCATCAGTTTTTGGTTTAAGTGCCGTCCGTCGTATAAATTCTGTCTCATTTCACTTTTATGCACCCTTTATCTCCACGTCATTAATCCCCTACAATACTTGTCATCCTTGAGAGTTGTTTTCAATGATGTTGTTTTTTTGAATCCAAACTTGCAGTGTAAATTCATAACAAGAATATGGCATCCGAATATAAGTTCGCAAACGGGAACTATTTGCCTTGATATATTAAAGGAACAATGGTTAGTACTGTTCCTCATCGATGCTTTCTCGTCCCTTTTTTCATGATAAAGCCCTCTCTTTATTAATAGAATCCCATTCAGTTCTGGTGAAAACAAAGCGAAATGCAATTCTCACAAAAAAGTCCGTTAATTTTTGTATGAAGTGCATTTTTAGTTGATTCAAGTAAGTATTATTGATATTGATCATGTGTTGTTATTGATCGTTTCATCGATAAATAATCTTCAGGGCAGCATCCNTAACGTTACGTACAGTATTGTTGAGTATACAAGCACTGCTCACGCTACCTGAACCGAACGATCCCCAAGATGCCGTTGTTGCTAGGCAGTTCCTTGATAGTCCAGCTCTATTCAAAGTACTTGTTTCGCATTCTTCGTTCGAGTCATTTCATGCCTGCTTGATGATAGTAAAACCCACACAACAACTGTTTTAGCAGTTTGTCAATATATAACTGAACCCTTAAGCACTCACAATCAATGCTTGTTGTGTCAATCAGTTTGGTTTGGAATTCATCAGTTAGAATTATGATTTAATTGTTTGAGTAACTGGACTTGACTCCGCTGAATATGTGGAATGCATGCGTTGATGTTGGCAAGTGAACTAATCAAAATTTTCATTCGCAGAGGACGGCCAAATTCTGGGCGCAACATTACGCGAATGCGAAAGGACCAAAAGATGAGGAGTTATGGAGAAAAGTCGATAAATTGGTTGACATGGGTGTTTCTGAGGTTGGGTGTCTCGTTTTGTTTGCATTTCCGCATTGGATTTTCTGCTTATATCAATTCTGTATAAATTTTGAGCATTTGAAAGTCTCACGTTTCTTGTAGCTTGAAGACCACTTTAGTTTCGTATTTTGTTTTCAGTTCAGATTAGATCCTGTCCTCACGTCGAGTATGAATCTGAGCTTGAATCTAGTTTTCAAACAGCGCCTCGAATCTCATTCGTGTGATCGTTAAGTGAAACAGTTTATGATTGACCGCATTATTTTACGATTTACTGTTTGATTAATTGAATTTTTTGTTTAAGGATCAGTCAATATCGGCGTTGAGCTGTAATCAGTGGGATCTCTCAAAAGCAACAGATTATGTGTTCGGTTGAATTTTAATTGAATGACGGCATAGAGGGCACATCTATTGATTCTTGTTCAATTTGTTTTTGTTTTATTCACCTTTACGGAATTTGAATTTTCAAATGTTTCATTCATCGTCAACGTTATCATCAGTTATCGTTATTGTTCGTCTGCATCCCTTGGTCAGTTGCAATTCTCTCGCTTGAATAATTGTCTTACTAATTCTTTTTTCATTTCTTATCGCTGCCATAAATAAATCTAAACAAACACTGCAATAAAAGAGAACCAATCGAGGTGGAAGCGTCGGTTCACTACTTCTTATCGTAGTGTGCTATTTTGACACAATACGGATAGCAGAATAATGCGTCGCTTGCAGACTGCATGGCATGTTCATACCGGATTCATTGAGCTTGTGTCTCTTTACAGTGCGTAAATGTACTTCCTTTCATCAAAAATAATTCTATGAAGTATTATCATACAAATTTTTTAGTCNNGCAAATTTCCGAGCCCAGCAAAAACAAGGTACAACGAGATTATTGTTTCCTTCAGCGACATGAGAATTGCACACTTGAATTCTCGATTCGTAGCTGGAGATAAGCATGTTTCAGAAACTGTCAACAACAACTGACTATGAGAAATTTTTGAATGAGCGTTTGTTGTTGTCATTTTTTGTTGACTTTCTCGTCGAATTATTATTCGATTGATTATTTTCTGCAAAAATGGCATAGTGGTTGCGCTGGATTTTTGTGAGTGTGCAGTGATTAAGATCGTAATTATTATCTCATTTAGTTGTGTTGTTCTCTTAAAAATTAATCTCCTTAAATCATCATTCATTTTCGTCATTTGATTATTGAGAAGTTTGTTGTGTTCGCTTGAAATATCTTCAACTCATGGCCATCATCATTCAGTTGTATTCCACAAATGTCTATGATATTATGAAGGATACTCTTTGAATTCGTTCTGAATCCACTCCAGTCCTTTTGCTTATTTTGTTTCTTCCACAAAAACTCGCGAATAAATAATCTGTCGGTTCATTTTGTTAACTAGAATTTGCCTTTTTTGATCGTGCGAATCCGCGACATTATTATGATGGAGGTTACTCTTATTCTTGAACTTTTTTCGAAAACCTTTTGCTTTTGAAAGACTGGGAAATCGTTTGCAACCAAGAACTTCTCTGTATGAATGTTAATGAATCTGTTGAAAAGTGATTTTGCGAAATTGGAGTACTTCACGGAAAATTTTTATCAACTTTTCTGTGAAATTCGAGCAAAGAACTCGTCAATACAGTCAGTGAAATTGCGGTTGAAAAATTTCCAAGTTACCTCAGCGAACAGTTTTTTTGTGAAGAGTAAACGTAAAAATGAATGTGTTGTTTGGATAATAATTTGGAGAGTCACCTCGTTGATTAGTGCGTGTTGTTGTTATCGAACTGCAATAGGTTGATGCTTGTTTATAATTGATGTGTTGGATTTTGGTGAATGATTGAAGTGTGAATTGAATCGCAAATGAAATTGTACGAGGTCAGATGCACTGACGATGACTGATGCATGCATATTCACTTTGCGAGTTAATCCGTTGAAATGTGAAGTGTATCTGAGGGTTGAATGAGTTGCTGGTTGGGTTTTGATTGACTGTTCATTGAGGAGAAGAAGTGATTTCAATGACGTGACGAGTGATTTCAGTTTTATTTTATTGCTACTCAAATATGGATGGTTGTAATGGGTATCCGATCGTCTTTATCGTCCATTTATGAATTATTTACGTGAATGTATTGAATTTGAATTGGGATTAATGAAACGTATAAATTCATTTGAATTTTTCAAATTAGAATTGTCCTATTGTATTGAGTCATAATAAGTTATTATTGTGGTAATAAAGCATTTTTGCGAAAACTGTTCCAGTTGTGTTCGATGTTCTTTCATTGTTTATTTTTTCATTCATAAAACGTTTAACAGTCAAGTATAAACGTGACTCTGTGTCTATTTTGAAGATATTTGCAACAATTGGTTATGTATGGTTCTGAGTTGAGGTGATTTGTTTTGAAATATGTAGGTGATGTGAATTTGGAGCAAACTGCAAATATTTTAGAAGGAGCCGTTCCTTATCGGCTGATATAACAGAGGCGATATTCAACTGAAGATTTGCAACACTCGTTTTTTTGCTTGTTTAGTCTAGTCACTTTTCATGTGGCTATTTATGTTTTTTTATTAGTGTTCTTATTTTACTGTTCATGTCATAAATTTTATGTTTATTCTTTTCGGTCATTCAGCTGATAATTCATTTGAGTATGCTTATCGAATTGTTTGTTCATTTGCAAATGAGGCAAATCAAGATTTTGAATGTTTTGTGAAGTATAAAAAAGACTGGATGATCGCATTGAAAATTGAAAATAGTGACGATAAAGCGAATTCGAAAGAGATGAATAAATGAGTGGATTGATTTTGTTGTGTAATGGATTTTTTTAGATAAAATGAGTGAGAAACAGGAATGTCATATGGATAAGAAACACGATAACAACACAAATGATGAATCGAAAAAGTTGAAGCCATGCTGTGCCTGTCCAGAAACAAAGAAGGTGACTTCATCAATATTGTTCTCTTATTGTACTATCATATTAATATTATTATGATCAGTGAGGGGCATCCCACTGAAATATAAATTGCTCCACTAATTCGCTTGAAAAAATATTTCGAGTGGCGTAGCTGACGAAAAAGTAACGAAAACTTTTCATCAACAGAAATACTGCTAATCGAGGAAAACAGCGGCACTTTTCGCTATTTTGCTCAGCAGATAAAGCGTGGCTGAGTGAGCAAAAGTAGTTCGCTAATCGCAATCATTTTCAAATCCTTTAAATTTGCAATTGCATTCCTGATTTGTCTGCGAAAAAAACCACATAACGTCATTAAACAATGAAAAATTTTCACACTGATCCATTGAACAGCAAAAAAATGCTCTTAGCGATAAACACGAGTCAGCAGCAATAAAAGCAAAGCANTAGCAATTCAAAGATGAAGAGCGAACAGCTAGCAGAGAACTAAATAAACAAAAATAACTGGAAATAACTAGCTAAATCAAATCTTGCATTGAGGAAGCAATATCCAAATTTTAGTTTGGTAGTATCTATGAATCGTGGTATAACTCCACTTTAAGTATGTAAACGAGCATGAAGAAACGCTCTTGGAATGAATTTTATCAACTTTCAGGCAAGAGACGAGTGCATCGTATTGAATGGTGAAGAGAAGTGTGGTGAACTGATTGAGGCGCATAAGAAATGTTTACGAGAGCATGGATTTGATGTGTGACACACGATGGTTACGCAACACTCGCCGAAACGATAATGCACAGGATGAATAATTGCTTTAATACCTCTATATCGTGTCTTTGTCGCTAATTGCTAGGAATCTATAAATCTTATTAACATAAATTATTCTCTTCGTTTTCACTCGTATTTATTAGTCGTTCATGTTTAAGCAGGAAATGCTCATGTGCCATTGGTTTGGTGTGAAATGTGGGAATTTTATGTAAAATTGTTGTTATTAGATGTGATGAAATTCAGAAGGAATGTATTCGTAGTTAAATCGTTTTCGTAATAAACGTCTGAAACTGATTCGTTGTTTTTCCTAAAAATTCGATCGTTTCTTTCGATCGATCATCCTTACGACTGTTCCATCGACATTCTTATATTTTATATACTATCAATCCATTGCCGCCAGTGCATTTTCGATTCATTATTCAGTTATTTGTTCAGCCAGATTACTCTCTTCTTCAAATGTGAAACAATTCAGCATAATACCAGGTAGCATCGGTAGAGCGAACTTTTCAAAACATGCTATTAATAGAATCTCGGTCGGTACTCATCGAATGAAACAAATTCCTACAAATGGAGAATTCTGAGGGTGGTATTCCGAGCAACTGAAAGGGTTGGAAAAATCATCATTATTGGGGACAATCAGCTGGCATGCTTTAGGATTGCTCTTGTTTCAGTCGATAAAAAATTTCGGTTGCACAAATGGATCTGAAAAAGGCAGAACTGATGCAGTTACAACTGTGTCAGCAAGAGATTCTCAAGAGTGATATTTCGATCAAGAATCTCATCGAGAACATCAAGTAAGCAGCACACTTCTTCTATATTTCCATCTCAGTCAATTGTCAAACTGCAAAAGCGACATGCATTTGTGTGACTTACTGATGATTTCATGAAAAGATCAATTGATCACGATGTCAATCACCATTTTTGTTTCGTTTGACGTGACAACATCGCACACGGTCTTTTTCGTTCACTTCAGTCATGCACCTTACCTCGCCACCCTATTCCTATTCTCTTATCCCAGCTATATCAACCGTTTTTGAATGTTACAAACAAATGTTTGAGGCATTATATGATAACCACAAAACTTATCATCATTATTCAGACATTTAGAAGATGCAACACAAAAACAAATCAACGATTTGAATGGTGAAGTGAAACGACAAATCAATGAAATCGCTATTCAGATTGATTCATTGCAGCGACTTTCGAATAAAGTAGAGAGATTTGTTGTGTTATTTCTTACAGTCAGTTATTTTTATTTTAGATAATGTGATCGTGACTGGCTGTAACCTAGGATATTAATAGTAATAAGCTAATAAACTGCAAAGCGGTGAAAATAACGAAATACTATAACAAACTAGTAATTCACAAAAGCAGATCACAATATTACACAATAAAGTCAGTGATGATTTTTCGCTTATTTCAAACTGATCAAAATTCAGAACAAAAAACGGTTTTTAAAAAATGAGCTGCTGATATCAATCATATCAATACTGATTGATATCAGTTGATATCAATCAGTATCGCCGTCAAAATGAAGCACTGTCATTGTGAAGTGACCAGCTGAATGGCTAAAACATTGATTAGAAATAGATACATTCAAAAAAAANTGTCATCAAATATGATTGATGTTTATTATTATCGCTGTCAATGTGATTGTTCTAATGAAAGACGAATTACGGTTATCACCGCACACAAATAAATTAATTAAAGGTCAAGTCAAGCAAAGAACGAGACGAGCTTCTCGCTCAAGTCAAAGAGCATCGAAGTGAACTGGATCGCAATCGTTACGCACTGCGAAATGCATTACGCATTCAGTTGAAACATATCGGTATTCATTCAACTGTTATTAATTAAGACTTCCACTGTTATCAGTAATATTATTTACTGTTATTGTGATTATTATTATTACTATTGTTGTTGTTATTACAATAGTAATTATTATTAAGTTTATTATTATTATTAACTTTAATTATGATTATTTATATTGTTATTATTATTGATTATTACAATAATAATTATTATCGTCATCGTGGAATGAACGATGAAGTCGACGGGTCTGCGAGGTTCAGAACAGTTCTAGCCGTGTTGTTGCTTGGTACAGAAAAAATAGAGGTTCCTTAATGATTATCGCAGGGTGTTGGATCGCCCGTGCGCTTGAATATGTGCACGATTTGCGCATCCTCAAACTGTTGCAGTATCTTTGGGTGCATCCAAATGTGTCCATACTAACGCCATGAGTCGCTCGGCCACTATAATTAAATACCTCTGCCAGTAGTCCATCAGCACTAGGCGCTTTTCCCCATTTCAGCCTTTGAATGGCTTCTCATAACTCTCCGTTAAAGGATACTTGTGCCAGATCTTCTGACACATGTTGCTGAGGCGTTTGGCAGCACTGAGGAGTCGAACTGAGACGTTTGATTGAGCTGTTATTACTATGCTTATTATTATTATTGCAGAAGAACGTTCTCGAGATCATTTATTCAGTCGTCGTGAAGTTAACGATGAAGATATAGAATTACGTAACCGAATGAAGAGAAGTGAAAACTTGAAGAAAGAAGCAATCAAGGTTTCATATCCGTTGCGTGTTTCTTGTTGCAAAAATGCATTTTATTGTGATAAAGAGAACCGTGATTGCTTTTCGATTATTCCCGTTGAGATTCGTTCTGAATTCGTGTTGTTTTGGAAAGAAAATTCAGATGTGACAGTTAGGCGGTTGACTGCTTTGCTTTTGAATTGTTGGTGATTTTTTTGATGGTGACGAGGTGATAGCTTACAAAATTAATAAGCAGTGATGTGTTGATGAACTTCAAACGAAATTACATCCACATCGATCTGATAATATCACATCTCAACGAGCAGTTGATAATGTTCAATAACAGACAACTGGCAGTCTGTCGGCACTGGTGTCTCGAATGAACGAACAAGTGAAACTGTCCGAAGAGAGTACAACAAATCTGATTCATTCATCCGCTTTACTGCGTGAAACCGAAGGAGAGTACGCGTCTATGGGCTCGCATATTCAGGTGATCTACATCAGTTTGTATTTATTCTAGTCCAACGTAAACGAAGCAATTTCATTCTTGCAAAGCGACTATTTATATGCCAAAAATTTTTGCCCATTTCAATTGTNCCAAAAAACAATTTGTTATCTTTCAGAGTGGTGGAAAATTAATCTCAAAATATGGACGACGAGAATGTACGGATAAAATTTTGATTGCTTTAGCGTTATTGTTGTATTTTTTGGTTATTTTTTATATTCTACGAAAGCGTGTCCTTTCGATTATATATTGAACTCACATCTGCTCAGTTTGCCTGCATATAATTTCTTTTCGTTTACGTTTATTAATGACTCGTTCGCATCTTTCTGCCTTCATGCGAGATCATCTCCGGTCGAACTTTTCACTTCAAATTTTGGTTTTGAGAACTGCATAGGTGGTAGTCAATTGCACTGAAAAGAGCACTAATTTTAATATTTTATTCTCGTCTCTCGCCAGCCATTATCCTTTGAGATCGTTTGCGCACGGCTAACGATGTTGCTATTTGTTTGTTTGGGTCGAAATGCGAGATGGAATCGAAACGAATGCCCAAAACAAACTACGTTATATGTACATATAGATTTTCAAGTTGAACACGCATAATTTATTGCTATAAAACTTATGCCACAACATCGATACTCATCTGTCTTTATATTCAAATTATGTTTAGAGCTGTGATCGTTCTGAATGAATAAATGAGTGAATATTCTATTTGCGAATTGAATTTGCTCCAATTTTTAAATTCTCTGTTTCAGACTTATAATTTTGCGGTTGTATTTTCATTCGTTATTTCTTTTTATTACGCATGATCAAAAGCAGCCATGTCATCGTGAGGCATTTTAATCAGTTCAACAAAATTCTCGAGAATCACAATGACGATGCCCTTATTTACTGAAATTTGCTTCACAACCTCCAAGCAATTTGTATTTGAGTTTAAAAGTGAATTCGTTGTTCTGCTGTCATGATTCAAGAGCAAAAATTGTTGTTACAGTTCTGTATGAATCATTGCGTATATCGTTTGGTGTTTACTATTTCATTGGTTCATAGAGTCTTCTCAACAATGTGACGTCGTATATTGGTGGATTGTTATATACTTTTGAAAATGAACGGATAAAATATTTTCCTTGTATTGATAATAAGTGGAGGATATGTGTTGTCGCGAATCAAATTATTTCATATACCTTTATCGTTGTAGCATTTACAAAATTCGGGCAGTGGGATCGGGAAATAGATACAGCAGAATTGTGTATTTTCTACTAGCAATTCTATGTGCTCACTGAAAAGAGGTGTGACCGAGCATTGTTGAAAGCTGAAGAGAATGACTTGAATTTTGGATGCATACAATCAGTCTTCACTAAGTTTATGTTTGTGCTCTGGTTTAGTCTAGGGCTCAGACCAAGGAACAGAGCATTCCTTTGATAGATACCTCAGGTGCAGTATGAGCCTCAGTCTAACGATATGCATCATTCTCGCACTGTTATCTAATTTGCACGTATTATCTAGCGCGCGAGCGATTGTGAACGTTCCTTTAGAAATGGATTGGTTGAAAATCATAAGCGAATGCCATATTACAAATCACCTAGTGTACTTGAAATGAGGTCTCAACGAAGGCACATCCCAGTTTGGAACAAACGCGAACAATCAATGCCTGTGTCAAACTTAATTTCTATAATTCAACTGATTCGCTTAATTTTATCGTGCATTTGAGAGGATGTCTGCGAAATTGAAAGAAGTGAATGATGAACTAACGCAGTTACTCCGAGAAAATAAAGCTGAATCTGCGAAAAGATTACTTCAGAAACATGCCAATCTTGTGTCCTATAAGGATGATGTTAGTCTTTATTCGTCGTTAGCTCAATATTATCATATGTAATTCATTCAATCGCCTCTTATAATACTCCATTCTGGTGTGCGTTTTTGAACGATATCGGTTCACTTTCGAGACAATTTATTTTCTTTCAAACGGTCAGCAGTCGAGTCGCATGACTGTCGTTAGTACTGTAGCAGAATGAATTGAGTACAGATTTTGAAATTCATTTTGATGCAGCAGTTCAGTTGAATTCAATTGTTGCACAATTTAAGTCAGGACGTACAGCAGTGCATTGGGCATGCAGTGGCGGATGTTTAGAGATTGTTCAGTTCTGTGTTAGCGTACGAGATGAGGATGCAGTCTCAACTGATGATGTTCGTTATTCGTTGTTTCGTTTGATTGAGTAGAGTCGAGCTTAATTATCGCCGATTTGATTCGGTTGTTACTTGCAATAAGTACGATTGCTAGTCATTGATGAATGAAGCAGAATGTGTCGTGATATTATTAATAAGAAGATTGGAAATGGTAATGGATATGAGCCTTTGTCAATGTGTTTGAAGAATTCACAGTGTGCCAGCTAATGATATAAGGTGATGGGGAAAGAGAAGTGAACATTCAGATGGGTTGGACACCGTTGATGATCGCATCTTCGGCGGGTCGATTGGAAGTGGTTCGTTATTTGGTGACGTTACCGAACATCGACATAGATACGGCCAACAGCAACGGACAGACCGCTCTCCATTACGCGGCCAGCAGAAATCATGCAGCCGTTCGTTTTGCTCGCTCACATCTTATCATCTTTTGCCTTATGCGTAAAGCAATGACAATAACAACAACCATAATAATGATGATAATAGCACAACATCAATAATCATTCATCATTCACATTTCTCTTTTGTTTCATTTCCATCCCTTTGATCTTACTGGTTCTCATGAGAGTATCCCTCTGATTTTTTGAGATTTTAAAAACGCTGTTCTTTATTAGTGAATACAGTCATGATTGTGGGTCTGATCGTGAGTATGTTCACGGGCGAGTTTTTGATGAATGTTATCCTCTCATTTGAGTATTCTCAATATATAACTGCTGAAATGTTGTATGTATTTTTTGAATGAATGAAACTCGAGTTTATTTATTTGTCGATGTTGATTGCCTGTATCGTTAAGATAACATCGATTCTGATTCAAAATGGTGCCAACGTGAATGCGCAGGATCGTTATGGTGCTTCGCCGTTACACAGAGCTGCCTCACAGGGGCATCAGAAGGCTTTTTTTTATTAATTTCGTTTTGTTTAGTTCTAATTCGTTTAAATTTGTTCCATTGTAACGTCGTACTTGTTGAATCACCCGGCTTATCCACATTCTATCCCTCTTCAGTTGATCTGAAAATTGATAGTTTTTTCTCTTTTCCTGTAAACCTTTTGAACGATTCTATTTCTCCGTTATAAACATTCCAATCTCCAAAAAACTGACTAAATTTAAATTTAAATTTTCTTCAGATAGTTTCACTTCTTGTTGGTTCACCAAAGCTACGCATTGATATCGCAGATTCATGTGGATGTTCACCGCTGTATGTGAAAATAACTTATGGAGTTCATTCTGAAATGTTCATCTCCATTGAATTTTTTTTTTGAATGATCGATTTCACTATTACTGAAAGACTGTGGAAGTGTTACTCTTGAGAGATGTATTATCGAATGTTAACGTTCTTTGATTTCAGTCATTTGGCTATTGAGGAGCACAGAGAGGATGTCGCGATAAAACTTGCTGACAGGGGTGCTAACCTGTATTTGGAAAATAAGGTTGGTTGTGTGCAATTTCCTAAAACTCATTTCAACATTATGAATTTCACGAGGCAATAATCATTTCATTGCATCAAATCATCAAGTCGATCAAATTGATAGAAATATATTTCGTTATGTTCAAATGATCCATACGTATTCAATTCCAATTGTATATTCATTCATTCAATTGAAATTTCAATTGAAGAATGGGAACTGAGCGATTGTTCGTCTTCAGCATTTGAAAATCAACGAGTAAATTCACATTCGTTATTTATTCGTGTGGTGTGATGATAACGAATGAACTTTCAACAAAGGATTGCTTATCCCGGTTGAGTAATATGCGGTTTTATAGGCGAAGCAACGTCCAATTGATTTAACGAATTCTGCTGAATTTGTTGGTAAACTCAAGATGGCTGCGAAACGATTCGAAGAATCAACTTAAAATCGAAGGTGTTCGCTCGTTGTCGTTGAAGTGGACAACTTAAACTAATTTTTGTATCATAAAATCATAAAATAAAATATTGAATCATAAAATATTCTTGTTTGTATGTTGTATTGAAAACAAGCACACATATTTATATTTGTAAATTTTGTTGCCACATGATCCCAAATATCGTCACTTCTTCGTTGGTTTGCTTTCAAATAAAGTTGTTTCACATACTAAATTTTCTTGACTGACAGGGAGGTTACAGCTTATAAGTGAAAGAAACGATCAATGGAGTTTTTTGGACGACGAAG